GTTTTCCAATTTAAAATCTCCAAGCAGTCTATATCTTGATTCTAGTGGCCCATACACAGTGTGTTCTACTAGCTGGAATGTCAGATGAGAACTGGGGAGACTTTTATTCAACTCCCAGGCCTTGTTGCACTGACCAGACTACATCTTAAACCCCATTTTGGGAGAGTGATTGTATATAAATCTAATAAATAAAATAAAATAAATGCCGGCCACACAACTGCCCTGAACTGACCCCATTACCTGGTGCTCCGCTCCTATCCCACAGTGGCTGACTGCATGTACATTTCACCAGGCCACTACTGCCATGAGTCACTTACTTCTGAGGTCAGAATGAGGTGTCCAGCAACAAGTACAAGGCTGGGCACCATGTTCTGGCCTTGTATCAAGCATCATGAAGTTATGGTGGATGTCTTAGGTGGCCCAGCAGGACACTCATGCAGACAGTCACCATGGCATGGGAATGGAGGGCTCTGGATTATCTTGGAAGATCTGCAGCAACAGGTATATTATTTTAATCTGTTTTTAAGGCTGTAATAACCTGGTTCTGGTGTGGAAAATGGTGGACATCACCCAGTCTGCTTGCACCAGAACTGGATTTGTAGCATCTGAACAAGACAACGCCAGAAGGTGGGGGTGGGAGTAGACCTTTTGGTCCATGCGAACAAGGCCTTAGTGACAAATGAAGTTAATGCGGTGACTTCAAGTCGGTCTTACTCTCTCAGTCTAAGGGGGGTTGCAGACTGCCAGAAATAGTGCAAATTGAGTCCACTTTTAGGGTTAGGGTTAGTGCTAGGGAATCATGGGAATTGTTTTTTTTTTCCTGAGACATTGAGTCTTCTCTGTCAGAGAACTCTGATGCCACAATAAAATACAGTTCTCATGATTCCCTAACCCTAACCCTAACCCTAAAAGTGGACTCAATTTGCACTATTTCTGGCAGTCTGCAACCCCCACCTTCCACAAAGGATCATTGTGAGGATATAAGGGGAGAGAAATCATGTACACCACATACATATACTACATAAAGTTAGGAGCTATGCAGATGGGCAGCTCTGGGCTGCCCCTGCTATCAGTGGATCGGGGCTGCAACAATCCCATGCCATGGCCCCAATCCTTCCTTTTGC